AATGGCAACATTACCCCAAAAATGTGTCGACATATTCACGAAACAATTTCGACATAAAGATAAATAAATAGAAACATAACACAACTGCATCTGTCAACCGCGCTCTTTCCATTTTCTCACGTTTCCTTTATATATATTCTTTGAATCTTCCCTATAAATAACGACGCTAATTCCTCTCTTTTTTCCCTTACACTCCACGAAAACTAACTTAAAGTCTTTTGTCGGGTAATTAAGGTTTAACAAAAAATGGGATCTCTCTCGGCGTTTGAGAAGCGGTTGCAGTATCCGACGGCGAGGCGGGATGAGTCCGTCGTTGATGATTACCACGGCGTTAAAGTTTCTGATCCTTACCGCTGGTAAAAAAAAGCGTTTGCGTTTGCGTTTTCCAGCTTGTAATTTCTCTAGCGTTTTTTTTTATCACGTGTTTTCATTAGTTGAGTATTAATATTAAGGGGCAATTACAAAAATACCATTTTTTATGTGCATATTTACAAAAATGCCACTTAAGAGTACTCATTTACAAAAATGCCACTAATTATAGATTTATAAAGCCTATATTTTAAAATTCTAAACCTTAAAAAATGTTTTGACACGTAAAACCTCCTAAACACTCAAAACTAAACCTTAATAGAATATAATTAACCCAAACATAAATAATATAAAAAAAAAAATAATTTTGAAAAAGTGGCATTTTTATAAAGATTTCAAAAGTGTGACATTTTTGTAAAATGGCACTTAAAAAATAGCATTTTTTGAAATTTTTCCGATATTAATCACTAAGATTCTTCTGACCGGATATTTTTTGAATTTTCTGCTCCCGAAGTTAATTATTTTGTTTTTTTTGTTTGGAATAATTGTATCGACCTTTTTTTGGACCAGCACTATTTATATGTTGGCCCATTATAGATATTTTTTGGACCAGTTAAATCAAAAATTTGGCCCAGTTCTGGACCAATTTTTACACAACCGTGTACCGGTTTGGGTTAATAGTAATAATATTTCGGTTAAGTTTCGGTTAGCAAATTAATTCGGTTCTCTGTTTAGGTTGGAAGATCCTGACGCAGAAGAAGTGAAAGAATTTGTAGAGAAGCAAGTGAAATTGTCAGATTCGGTGTTAAAAACTTGCGAATCAAAGGAAAAGCTTCATGAGAAAATCACAAAGCTTATTGATCATCCTCGCTACGATACGCCCTTTAAGAGAGGAAACAACTACTTTTACTTCCATAACACAGGTCTTCAAGCTCAGAGTGTGCTTTATATTCAGGTAAAAAATTTAAAGCAGAGAATCAATCATCTTCTTTGATTCGTTAATTGAGTTTCTGGGTTTTTTTGTTGTCAGGATGATTTGGATTCTGAAGCAGAGATCTTGCTTGATCCCAATACTCTTAGTGATGATGGAACAGTGTCGTTAAACAGTTTAGCTATTAGTGAGGATGCTAAGTATTTGGCTTATGGGCTTAGCTCAAGTGGTAGTGATTGGGTTACGATTCATGTTATGAAGATTCAAGATAAGAAAGTGGAGCCTGATACTTTATCTTGGGTAAGTAAGGTTTTCTTAAAGTTGAGATTTTTTTTAGTGTTTACCCACAAGAATTCAACATTGACATGAATCGTTTTTGGTGGAATCAGGTTAAGTTTAGTGGAATTACATGGACTCATGATGGTAAAGGGTTTTTCTACAGTCGCTACCCAGCTCCACAGTGAGTGTTTTGGTTTTAACTTTTTGAGGATTTGGTTTGAAAA